CAATTATGTTAAAGTTTTTTTTGAACAAAAAATTATATTTAATACAAGTGATTCTTGTTCTTTCACATGAACCTAGCTCTTAGTGACTGTTCATCTTTATTTGTAATGTAAATACAATTAGTCAATAAATATGATACAGTATCACAGCTGATATGTTAAAAGTCTGTAAGAGAAAATGAAACACTGGCTGTGTGTTATAAAATTGCCACTATCATTAATTACATAAACTATCAAACCATCAAACAAGACAACCAAAGGGTAAAACACTGTGTCAACCATGGTTGATGTAATTTCCTAATATTGCTTATGTGCTGCTTGTATGAAAAAGTAAAAATAATTTTAAAAGATTGGTCATTCAATGACTTGAAGACTGCTTATTTAGTGATAGCTGTCCTTAATCTCCAAGGGGAGTTCTTTATGTAGCTTTGTCACTCAAGTTCTTCAAACTTCACCATAAATTTATTTTCTCAAATTTTAACTCTTTTTCAGATGTTAATGTTCAGCAACAAACTTTTTGCCAATCTTGGAGCAATTGTTGCTCCAAGAAGACCTAGCAGTTATAATTGTTTTATTAAGATGTTTTAYTGGTACTCTTTTCACAACAATACACACCTAGACTGTAGTATTGCAATTCTTATGAAAACTGCCATCTCTTTACTCTTTACTGTCATTTGCTACGTGACTAGCCGACACAATTGGTGATTTCCATAATGTCATCACATATTACCTAGATAGGAATGCTTACTTTTGTAATGTAGTTATCCCTATTCTATGATAATCTCCAAAGGGGTTTAAAAATCTTGATAAGAAAGAAAATATACAATAATATTTTTGTTGTAAATGATAAGTAAATGATATAATTATAATCCATACATGTATTTGCCTATTCACAATGGTTCCAGTGGCTATTGCCAAATCACTTTAGTTGATTGACAGCAGTCTATTGTAAATTGCAGTGGAGTAGTTGTATCTGGACTGGTCATAGAGCAATGCAAATGGCAGTAACTAGYTAGAACTAAACAATTATTTACATGACACTTGTCTTGTTTATCAAATCCATTTTTTCAAGTATGGCTGCCATYATTTAGTAATTCCTATAACACCACAAGCTAATCGTGCTCCAGCATTACCAGTTGTAAGACTAAGTTCATGGCCTCCTCTTCCAAGATCATCAATACCTTCATGCACCTGACATTGGAAGTAATAGAGAACAGTTGTTGTGTCTATTTCTGGTATATAATTAAAGTGTAGAATAATTATAACATTCTACAGGTGTGATATTTCAATTAATCTCATTCTTGCAATCAATCCTTTCATATCAGCTTCATTATTGTTTAATCATTTGGAATATSCAAAAAAATTTAATTTCAATTGAGTGTAAGCCTGAAATGTATTGCCAGCAAATCYTTTCAACAATACAGACTTTAGAAGATGTCTTGTAATTAATATATAATTGTAAAAACATAACAATAAACTATGATTTACAGTAGTGAATGACCCTGACACACTCACCACTAGTGATCTACCAATGATTGAGTACTGTCCAGTCAGACTAGCAACATGGTCTATAATGTGKACTTTTGCTTTCCCTGTGATATCTGCTTCTATGTTACCAAGATCACCTATATGTCTGTCAGACAAGAAACATATGATGGGACTGTAAGGGGGGTCTGGATACAGCAACACCGTACAATAATAGAGCAAATACCAAATACCACAACTCAATTTATAAAAATACTAATGGTTGATTTGGATGCTGGAAATTTACCATTTTTGATGAACTTAGATATTTGAGTGATAAATAGACTCACTAGAAAGAACAGTCAGCATGGTAATTAATGGATTACATGACAGAATGTTATTCCTTAAAAACAAATTATAAAGTAAACATAACAAAGTTGTGAAAGTTACATTTGCCCCACTCCTTTTTTAATGTCAGGTCCCTAAAGTACAAAATTACCGTAATAATGCAACAAAAATGGCTAAGATGACTATTAACTACAGTGCTAATATGAGCTTTTTATACAATCAACATCACAAAATAATACATTTCTTATTCACTGACACAATTGTTATTGATTTTTTTTTCAAGAAAAGTGTGATTTGGCAAAAGCCTCATTGAAACACACCACTGAGGGAAAACATGCACCATGCAAACATCATTGAATGATTTCATGCATATAGAACACCACTAGCAAATATGCCTCATGCAAGCATGCACAACACTGCTGGCAGATGTGCCTGGCATACAATAATGCATAACACTGTTGCAAAGTAACAGTTAAAGTAAGTGTTAAAAAATATTCAGTTAGCCATCTGTCTTACCTCTCAGTTTCGTCTGGAGAACCATGCTGTTTCTTGAATGGATTGTAGTGTGCCCCTGCACTTACACATCCTAGAGAATTGATATGCAGAATATTAAGTGTACCCATAGCTGACATAAAAAAAAACTCAGCCCACATATGCTACTTATCTCATTCCAGCTGGAGCAATATAATGTTATCCAAATATACACAAAAAATACATGACTAAACCTCTTTTGCTATTTTTACGTTTGGTCTAAATTAACATGCCACCCATCAGTGTACATTGATACTCAAAGCGGCCTGGGAAGGTATAATACTTCCTAGAATTCTTTGAAAAATGGGAATAAAAAACTGCAAATCAACAATGTTGACATAAAACAATACCATTTGTGTAGTCTCCATACTCATGAATATGAAAGCCATGTTTTCCCTCAGTTAAGCCAGTTACTTCACCTGCTATTTTGCAAGGACCATCTGGCTCCTCAATAAATAAATATAATCAATTAGATTTAAAAGGAAATTATAAAGCACAGATTAATATTAGCACTTGACTGTTGAGTGAGTCTTAATTCAGATGTAAATCATAATATAACAATTATGTAAAAATACTCAAGACAATATGTTAGGCTTAGTTCATATGTTGGTCACCAATCTTTTATAACATCTAATCTTATTATTATGGCATTATGGTTCATACATGACAGTTAATGCAATCTGAAAAATATGTCAATTCTTGTTTACATGGAGATTTACATGTACGATAAGGGTCACTATACCTGAGAGGCAGGTATTGTTTTTCATGGTTGTGTTTACAAGTCAGAGGTAGGGTCACCTAGGGTTTCCTAGGAGGTTTTGCTGGTGATCTTGTGCTAAAAATGGATCACAGCACAAAAGAGAATCATGATCATCATGATGCAAGGGAGCCCAATTTCCAGGGTGACCTCTGCTTGTCAAGTTTGCATGTAAAGGACAATGTTATCACTCTTCTGTCGTTGTTCTCCATGAAAACAGAGCCTATAGTGCTTAAATAAGATTGCAAACTGACAACTGAACCGGTCTTTATAGTTTATCTTCATCGTATAGTTTGTCTATCAATCTATGCGACCCTGATCAACAGCATAGTGTCGACTTGACTCAAGCCGGCTGTACAACATCATAAGCTTTAATAACTTACCTCTTGAGAAAAGAAAATTGTACCTTCTACACTCCCAACAAGACAGCAAACTGCTTTAATCATTTTATACCAGAAAAAAAAATACAAAAAAGACTTTTAATTAAAGCGTTCGTTAGTAAATGAACACCATGGCGGCGGCGCCGAAGCGTACGACAGGAATCCCACTACAAGAATTTGACAGGAAGCCCGGCAAAAGTAAACACCGAGAGTTTTATTTATTTATTTATTCATTTATTTATTTATTATTTATTTATTTACTTATTTATTTATTTACTTATTTATTTACTTATTTATTTATTTACTTATTTATTTATTTACTTATTTATTTACTTATTTATTTATTTATTTACTTATTTATTTATTTACTGATTTATTTATTTACTGATATATTTATTGACTTATTTATTTATTGACTTATTTATTTATTGACTTATTTATTTATTGACTTATTTATTTATTGAC